TTCCATTTTATTGTAAATGGTTAGTGCTTTATGAAGCGTCAGTAACAAGCAACAAAGAAAATGGGTTAGGTAAATGAGAATCATTAATATATATTACTGACTTTCCTGCTGTATGAGCACTCTTATGTTGGACAAGCAGGGAGCATCATTATCAAAGGCCCTTCTGATAATTCCACTGCCATTCTTCTACCTGTAGATGATTAAAGGGAAATATAAAAAAAGAATAATCAGTGACTCATAGTATAGCAATAGCCTCTTAAAATATTTTTATTCCTCTAGTACAAGTGGTTGACAATGTGAGGGGGGGGGGAATCTTAAAAACATGATTCAACTAATTCTTAGGATTTTTATAAATATTTCTAAGAAAGTAACCTTTCAATGATATCCTTCAAATTAAAAACAGGATGCATTAAGAGCAAAGCAAATTCATGTTCTATAGAAATAAGTTTTCCCCACTCACTATGAATTCAGGTATCAGAAATATTAAAATTTGCTTTTTCCTTTCATTACCACCACTACTCTGCTTAATTATTCTTGCTTAGTAATTCTAAAAATCGGCAGTTTTCTGGGACATACCTGTGTGAGAGAGACAATAAGGAACTCAGTAATTGTTATATGAATGGATGAATGAACAAACCATAAATACCTACTATAAAAGGCAATAAGATAAATCTTCTTCTGTTTTCTTCAAATAGGTTTTATTTTAGGACAAATTAAATGATCTGAGGCCCTCATTTTGAAAATGCTACAGTTTAAATTGGAGAGATGAAGAGCTGGTATATACTGGTAGCTCTCATTTGTTCAGTCCACTTACCTTTGTCTAGAACTTGATTTAATTGTACAGTGAAAGATCCCAATTTATAATGGTTCTCAGGTAACAATATTTTGAATAGTGTGAAACTAAAAGAATATTTGATGTTATTTGGGGGATTATAAAGCTAATGAATGAAAACAACTCAATGCCCCACTTCAGGCAATTCATATGGCATCTGTTAGCTACTGCCTTTCTTAAGAATAAATTAATTAACTAACAAATATTCAGAGACTATATACTGAGTCCAAGGCCTGAGCTCGATGGACCCTGTTAAAATATATTAAAAAGGATGAGACTTAGACAGCTAAATAGTTGGAGATGGCAATGTATCCAGCTTTTAAAAACGACCTTTTCAAGTTTGAAGTGGCAAAAGATATAAGAACAGAACTTCTAAGAAAGCAACTTCATAAATGTTCCCAACTGGAACATGGATACACGATGGTTGGAACTACAGCGGTCATTCTCAGGCCATAAGGGGTCTTGAATAGAGTGATATGATCCAATCTGTGGTTCAAGGGGAAAAAGCACCCCTGGAGATCATTATGGATAAAGGGTAACAGTGAAGAAAAGCTTGGGTTATATTATTTCCTTTGTATATGAAAGCTGGTGAAGCCTGATGACAGTTAGGTTATAGAATCTATAAAATAATTAAGGTTAGAATGGATCTTATAGAAGCAATGAAAGTTGTGATGTTCTGTTATATGAAGGAGACCAAGAAGCCCCCTTTATTTCCACATATTTCACATACTGAAGGATCTCCTACACTAAAGCTTGAAATTCTTTTAGTAGATGCTGAGGACTTTTATTCATTCCACAATTAGACATAAAAACTAAAAAGTAAATAATCCGAGAAAATTAGCACACTGACTTAAAATCATATTGACCTGTAAAATAGAGGAATCAAATCCATGCCTGAGATCCAGTTTTCATGGACAGAGGAGAGGAAGGCAGAGGGCACTTGGTACCTGCAGTAAGAAGAAGTAATTATATGGAAGACAGTTGCGGGGGCGGGGGGGGGGAAGGGTGCGTAAAAGGGAGTTGTGAACAGTAGAAAAAACTATTATTTCAACATTTTTTCTTTGGGATCTCTTTGGAAAAGGAAATGCAGAGAGGAAGCATTTTGTGCATAAGTACTAGTAAATCCAATTCAATGATTACTGCTTGCTAACCTATAATATTCACAACAAAAATTATAGATGTTGAAGAGTATCAAAAATTAATCTTATAGCATATGCTGAGGTAAACTATTTACTTCTTGAGTAACTATATTAATATAGAGAAGTGGGATGAATACTATAATACAACAAAATTCTGTGTATGGTTCTATACATAGTGATATACTTTAATTTATATGTTGTATAGAAAACTTCCTGGGAATTTGAGTACAGTAATTATCTCATAAAAAGACATGTGAATACTCACTTATAAAGGCTTATTTATTCACACACTTAATCTTCTTTTCCAAGTGGGTTATTCCTATGTTCGATATTACAGTAAACATTTGACCAAAGCAGATCTGAAAGACCTGCCTGTCCACCAAAATCTCTTCCACTGACCTGCCATGGCACTGGAAAATTCCAGCAATAGAGTTATTTCTCCTAAATGAAGTAACAAGAAGCTGTTTAGTAAGCAATTATTTTTACAATGAGTAACGTTATGCTGATGCTACCTAGAAATATCTTTTTTAAAAAAGATATTTTTTTAGAGATACTTATTTTTAGAGAGAGGGAGAGAGGGAGAAAAACATTGATGTGAGCGAGAAGCACTGATCCACCTTTAGGGGAACAAACACACACCCCAGGCATGTGCCCCCAACCCGGAATCATACCAGCCACCTTTGCTTTGCAGGACAATATCCAACCAACTGAGCCACAGTGGTCAGGGCCACCTAGAAACATCTTGACACAATTAATTAGTCAGACTTGGCTAGCCACACCTTGCTAATGTCCTTGAAATAAAGTATGAGCTGGGTAAATTTCGATATGAGAGTAAAGAAAGAGTAAACTAAAGATGCCTACCAAGGAAAAAAATACCACTTTAGAGTTCCCTGGTGAGCCCTGGGAAATGAATTTTTGGCGTGGGGGGTAAGACCCTGTCACTTCTAGAAAGTAAATGAACACCAGAGAGAGTGGTGTGAAATGTATGACAAACTCTACTTTTGCTGTTTCGCATACAGACCCTCTAACCTAGTTATACTGACACCTCTTGGACAAGCGGAACCAAAGTATGATAGACAAAAAGTGGAGATCTAATTAAGAAGGTGAGAAGGCTTCAAGATCAATTTAAATGACCTACAAAGAAGAGAATCAAGTTAGACAATTTTCCTTTTAGGCTGCTAACAAAACAGACAGTTTAACATCGTAAAATATTAGATTTCTGAATTGTATATTTGTTCATTTTATGCTTAAAATAATTATACTAAAATGTTTATTAGATTAAATGTAATCTAGTGTCCAGGAATGGATCCTGGAACATAAAAAGGTTATAGTTAGTTGAAATACTAGTGAGATGAAATATAAGTCTGTAGTTTAGTTATTAGTATCGTACCAACATTATTTTTCTAGTTTTCACAAATGGTTATATGAAATGTTTACATTAGCGCAAGCCAAATAAAGGGTATATGGGAAATCTTTGGGCTATCTTTGTAACTTTTCTGTAAATTTAGATTTATTCCAAAATAAACTGCTTATTTAAAAACAGTTTTAATTACAATAACTCTTTTATATTAAACATTTTTAAAATCAAACTGTGCGTTATGACAGTGGTTCATTTTGGACTACCATGCCTATTATGCAAAATTTTTTAGAGCCACTAAGTTTAATCATTCTGTTGTACTTTAATCTTCTGAGCAACAATGGGGAAGACATTCTGTCCTCTCAGTGGCAGAAGTAGCAGTATTTTCTTTAAACTTCTGCATCAGGTTGAATAATACCTTGAGTCATTTCACCTCATGTTCATTTTAGCCACACATTTTAAAGGAAACAATTTCCACGTTCATGTTTCTTTTACTATCTGGTAACCAGACCTGTAATAAATACTTCAGGCCCTAACCATATTTTGTTCAAGAAAAATATTATAATTTCTCCTTTATTTTGAGATTTTTTATATCAATTTCCCATTTACATTTTATTTTCTTTTGTCATGTTCATATATAAAATGGGAAAGAAAATAATGTGAGCTTGTGTTCACAAATAAGAAATAAAACCCTAGAAAATAAATATATTAGGCTTAACACAATTTTGACATAAGAAGACCTAGTAGTAAAGATAATAATCCAAACGGCAGCGAAATTTTCGAGATTAAACACCTACATAGTAACAACCTAAAGTCCTGATTAATTAATCATTACGGGTTAAGCGACAATCACAGCGTTATGGACTGTTGGCGAAGAGAAAGGTTCAGTAGCAGCAAAGGACTCACTCAATACGGTTTTCACGTCGTGTATTTCCAAAGAATCATTGTGATAAACAAGGGGTAAAAAGGTGAAAAGGACTGTAGAAATTAACAGCCTTGGTGGTTAAGTAAGATTTTGAGATTGGCAGTGTGGTGCAGGGTCGCCAGCTTTGGCTGTGAACATTTTTCACTGCACGAGGGCCTGGGGAAAGGTGGGGCAGGCAGATCCACCCTGCCCAGCCGCGTTAAGGAAAGGTAATTTCTAATTCTCTCAAAGGCGCGCTTCTAAGGAGAGTTCGATAAAGACCCTAATCTAAACGACTCCAAGAATATGTGTGACAAAACAGTTCCAAGTTTCTTTCCCTACCGAATACAATTAAATTCTCAGATCCTAGTATTTGGTTTAAATTGTCTCCTGGAAATTTTTACTAGAGATCACTCAACTCGTCAATGACCTAGCAGCTTTCTCGGGCTCTTCTTTTCCCAGCTTAATTTCCGTGTCTTTTAGGAGTTTGGTTTTAATGTCAGAATTCTGCTGTTGTTCTTGTTTTCCTTCTACTTTGGTAAAGACTGAGGATCTGTACGGTTTCCTCAATTAGCATAAAACTTCCTCCGAGGCAGCTGACTGCAAAACGTTTCCATTCAAATGTTAATTATGAACCGGGCCACTGTGTTCTCGACCTTGTTTTAGTTTTAAGCTGCTTTCACCCTTCCGGAAGGCTCGCCACACAGCGCATGCGCATGTCTCTGTGCCCGTTTGCCCTACGGCGCATGCGGCTCTCCCTTTGGGAGCGCTCGGCGGAGGACCGCGCCTGCGCCCTGCGACGATGTAGAAGGCCGCGTGTGCTTCAGGGTATACTCCTCCCGCGGGCGTGAATACCGGCGCACCGCAGGCATGGTGCACTGCAGTTGCGTGTTGTTGAGAAAGGTCCGTGAGCCATCCCCGGAAGCCCCAAGCCCGAGAGTCAGGTGCTTGTAGCCCGACCTGGGGACGCTGGTGCTCCTTCTCTGCCTCCCCACTTTTTCTATCTGGGGGCCTCTTTCCTGCTTTTTTCTACCCTAGTCTTTTCTCCGCCCCTGCGGGAGTCAGGGTGGACCTGTCAGGGGGTGTGTCTCGCCGGCCTGGATAGGACGGTGGTTTAGGGACAAGCTGTGAGCTCTCCCTGGGGAATTGTGTGCACCTGGAATGAAGAGCTGGGATACTTGACTGCTTTTAGACGTGGTACACGTCGAGTGTGGGTTTGGTTTTTCTATTGGCTCAAATGGTGTATTTTCCTTTTAAGTAATAACACCCATAGTCCCTTTACATTCTGTATTTTTCCTTGAGTGCATTGTTTGTAAGAGAATTCTAAAAACGATTTTTCATCAATAAATGAAAGTATGTAGTAAGTTCTTGCAAGAAATTTAGGTCAGTTTTTGTGTAGTGTCAGTTTCAGAGTTGTTTCTGTAAAAAAATTAAAGTTGCTTCGAATTTAGAGGCCTCTTTTAGAGGCTTACTTGTAATGTTTATTGAAACTAGCCGGCATCATAGTTTGGCCATTACCCTATTACTAACGATGAGATGGACATATTCCTTTTAAGTTTGTGTTCTAAATCTCTGAAGCTGATCAATCTAGAGCAGTAAAAATTCATAAGCTGCATTTTCTTTGTGGATAAGTTACTAAAGGCTACTTGTGTTGTTTTACTGCCATGGAAAGTCACTTTCCATCAATGTCGTTTCCAAGCGAAATCTCTCTCCACTTGCATGTGATATGTTTCTGACTTAGCCTTGCAGAACCAAAGTAGTTCTTCACTCTCAGAGAAAACTACTCTGCTTGACCCTCAAATTTATGTTTAATATATTTCTTCCACCCTACTCTCTTTGAACACTGTTTCATGAATGCATTTGCATACTTTAATGAATCCCTGCACTTTAATCTTTTGCTATGAACTGTCCCCTGCAATTCTAGATCTAGACTGCATCAGAATCATCAGGGGAGCTCTTGCCAATTGTGTTGGCTTGACCTATCCGCATCCCTTCCGCCAGAGTATATCAGAATGGTCAGTGGAGTATGTGTATTCTGCAAAAAGTGTCCAGGTGTTTTTGATACTTACAACTATTATAAATGACTACAGATGTGAAGATTATGAATTTAAGAAATTACTCTAAGGAATCTTGATAGTCTGAGAGGTTAATACATAGGTTCTTTACCCTCAAGGAGGGGTTGATTTAATAAGGGTAATAGAAGTATAAGATTTCAATAAGTGTATTAATAGAGATACAATCAAATTGCTTAAGAGCCCAACAAAGTTGATGGTAAATGTTGATTAGAGGAATTAAGAAAGACATCACGGCCTGGGGGTGGGGGCAGGAGGGCAGTAAAAAGGGGATAAATGGTAATGGAAAAATTCAATTAAAAAATATGCAAATATGACATTCAGGTGGGTTTAAGATAGAAAAGAACAAATTAAGGGGGCGGGCTGGGCAAAGGAGGGCAAAGGGGAAGAATTGGGACAACTGTAGTAGAATAACAAAAACAGACAAATGACATAAGTAGAGGAAAAGCATGAGCAGTGGCATGGAGATGTGAAGGTATAACATCTGATACAGAGCAAAAGAGGAAGAGGACACGGGTTGAATGAATGGAAATGGAACTGAGGGTAGCTTAAGAGCTTTGAATATAGTACGGAGCGTTTTAAACTTTATTTCATAAACAGCAAAATGCCAAAAAACCATGCATGGTTTTTGAATAAGGAAGAAACGTGGTGAGAGATCCGTTTTTGGAAAAATAACTCAGGCAGCCAGATGAGGGATGCACTGAGAAAGGAATGACTAGACACTGTTAAGATACTAGGGCAATTTGTACCAGGAAGGAAAGAGCTAGGGCTTGGCGTGGGGTCGCGGGGGGTGGTGGGGGGGGGGGGGGGGGGGAAGCAGGTATAGTCAAAGATTCCCATACTCAATGAGTAGTAAACTGCAGTTCTTTTATTTGAAAGAACCTTGGTGGAATAGACTTTACCTAAAAAAAGTTTGGGTTGGTCATATTAACATGTATTTGAGATGACTGTTATCCTTTCAGTACTCAGGAACAAGTTACATATTTGAGGAGTTTCAAATGTAAGTACAGATCTTGTTCTCAGTTGCTTTAGACTGTTAAGCATACATCCTGGTGATGTCCAACAGACTGGGCATAGAGAATATCTCACGTAGGTTAATAGTTACTGGTACAGGCTGAGATTACCCAGGGAAACAGTCTAGATTGAAAAGTGGACCATTGTCAGAGACCTTGAGGATAGGTGGGACAATAATTGATAATTGTTTTTAAAAAAATATTTTTTTTTAAAAAAGGATTTTAAGGTTTTAACGGAAAGAGGAGGTCAGATAGGAGATGAACTGAGAAAAGACTAACTTTGGCATACTGGAAGTCATTATTGACATTTTGAGGCATTTTAGTGGCAACAAAGAACAAAGAAAGGAGTTCTAAACTGGTAAGCACATTTGATATACAAATGCTCTCTTTCTCTCTCCCTCTCTTTTTAAGTATGGAAACTTCATCGATAACCTAAGACTCTTCACCAGGGGAGGAAGTGGTGGAATGGGTTATCCTCGTTTAGGTGGAGAAGGTGGAAAAGGTGGTGATGTCTGGGTAGTAGCCCATAAAAAAATGACTTTAAAACAACTTAAAGACAAATATCCTCAGAAGCGGTTTGTGGCTGGAGAAGGAGCAAACAGTCGGTAAGTATTTACTGAATGACTTTGATTTTATAAAAGTAATCCCTCCAGGGGGGAAAAAACAGTTAAAAGATAAAAATGTAATTTTTAATTTGATTTAAATTACATCCTATATTTGTAACTGAGCAAAAATCTTCATTTGTCTCAACTCTAGTAAAGGTAAAATATAGGTACTAAGAAATGTTTTGGAGCTTTCAAACTTTCTATCCTTTTCTTCTCCCAATGTTTGTTTATTTTCTTTTGTACTTCCTCTGTAGAAACAGAAAATGATCTGAATTCCCACTGTTTTCTTCTTAAATTATCTTTGACAGTCCTTAGGAAACCTTTCTCAAATCTCAAATGAGCTACTCCACCCGATCACCACCAATAGTTCTGCCTGTATCTCATAGGCAGTGCTGAAAATTTAGAACCTGTTTCACTGATACATCTTTTGTATGTTTTCTCTTTTGCTTCTATTTCATTCTTCTTTCTATGACAGCAAAACCTTTCCTTTATTTTTCAATAATGTTTGTTATTCTCTGTGGAATATACTACATTGGCCTCAAAATATGAGAATTTTTTCCTTTGTTATAAAGAAAATGAAGAAAAAAATTCTTAAAACTTCCATCAAAATGCCTGCTATGATTCCTCAGGACTATCTCATTCTGTCATTCCATAGGAGGTATTGGTATAAAGGCTAGAGTCTTTTCTTTTTTTCTTCCCACAGAAGTGTTTAAAAAAACAAAAACAAAAACCAGAATCAATCTGATTTAGAGAGGAAGGGGGAGGTAGAGAAGCAGCAAGTTATTTTTCCATTTATTTTTGCCTTCATTGGTTGGTTCTCGTATGTGCTCTGACCAGTATCACAACCTTGGTGTATGGAGACGATATTCTAACCAAGGGAGCTGCCTGGCCAGGGCACTCACAGAAGTGTGTTCATATATTTATTTGTCACAATACCAGATGATGGAATGTGGCACGTACGTAGGGGATAAATATATGCAAAGGATAGAGGCTGGGATACTAAACAGCCTATAACACAGACACTCCCAACAACAAAAACAACAAATTATCCTGCCCAAAATATGCAGCAGCATCACCTGCTTGTAAACGTATCCATAGGGAAACTCCTCAAATTTCTTTTGAGAATTTTTGTTTATGAATAATCTGATTGTAACTTTATTATCCTCACCCAAGGCTGCTTATTGATTTTTAAGAGGGGAAGGGATGGAGAGAGAGAAACATGGATCAGTTGCCTCTCATACACACCCCAGCCAGGGACTGCATCTGCAGCCTAGGCATGTGCTCTGACCGGAAGTTGAACCCACAACCTTTTGAGTAGGCAGAACCACATCCAACTAACTGAGCCACACCAGCCGGGGCTAAACCATTTTATAAGACAAATTTTGAGAGCCTTGTAATTGTTAGAATTCGGTAATCAAAGTTTTGAGTATGGAATGTTATTTTATTATTTTGATGTTCAGGTGGGAAATAATAGCAGTTTATATCCTAAAGTAAAATTTCTTACCATTTTTAAATTTCTTTTGAAAAATAAGGTTGCTGTAATTCCAGGTGTATTCTGAGTTCAGATCAGTGGTATACTAAAGATGGTGATGGTATACAGTGTTTAAAGAGAAATTTAAACAGAACATATTTCTTACTGGGATTGTATGTTGCAATTTTTAGAATAGAGAGGCTTAAATCTGAAGAATGAATAGGAGCCAGCTGGGTGAACAGGAGTAAAAAGCATTACAGGAAAGGTAACATGAACAAAGGCCCAGTGACAGAAGACAAGTACCACACAGTATAAGACACTAAAAGAAGGCCAGTGTGGCTGGAATGCAGAGAGCTCAGAATGTAGAGGAAGATGAAACTAGAAAGATAGGTACAGGCCAGACTTTCATTCAGACCATCATTATTTCTGAAATATTGCAGTATCTTGCAGTTTGGTCTCCTAACTCCAGTCTCAGTCATCACCTTCAGTCCATTCTTTATCATATTTTGCTGTGTATAATGTGTACTTTTTTGTCCAAATTTTTGAGGGAAAAATAAGGATGCGCATTATACATGGGTAGTGCTAATTCTGTATCTGTGTAAATGTTTTGAGTTCTGTTATTTATGTTTATGTGTTAAAAGTGTAACTCTAAAAAGCAATAACTATATCCATATGCAAAATAACACCCTGGAATACATTAATTGGTTTCTAAATATAAATAAATAAAAAGTTGAATTAAAAAATTAAAATGAAAGATTTTTTCCCTCAAAGTTTGGGCCAAAAATGTGATTGCGCATTAAATACAGGGGCACATTATACATGGCCAAATACGGTATTTCTAGAGTGATTTTTCTAAAACACCAACCATTAATGTCACTTGCCTATTTAAAATTCTTCAGTGTTCCCCATCACTCCAAGATAATCTTCAAACTCTCTAACACAGCATATCAGACTCTTCATGATCTTGACTACAGTGTCTTTATTTCACAACATGCCACTCCACTTGTACCAGTGTTAATGCTAGAAATAACTGTTATTTTTTCAAACAGCTTGTTCCCTTCTAATCCAGTATATATGTGTGTATATAAATAAATATACATATATATATTCAGTTTGCCAACACATCTTTTTCCTGCCTTGATTACCGTTGCTTTTCAAGATTTGGTTTAAGCACTACTTTCAAAATATTGGTAACTGAGTAAGATTTTAATTTCAGTTATCTAATAATGTCTAGTAAAAATCAGACTGCTTTTGTTTATCATGAAATCATCTCCCAGTAAATTGTTTTATACTTGCTCAACTCTGAAAATTATCAAATACTATTTCGACTGTTTAAAAAACTATTCAAAGTTCTGGCCCTAGCTAGGTAGCTCAATTGGTTAAAGCATTGTCCCCATACGCCAGGGTTGCAGGTTCCATCCCCAGTGAGGGCACATACAAGAATCAGCCAATGAGTACATAAATAAGTGGAACAACAAATTGACATTTTTCCCTCTCTCCTTTCCTATCTCTATAAATCAATAAATAAAAATTTTAAAGAACTATCCAAAGTTCTTTTGAAATTTAAGTGTAAATGTTTTTAATAAAATAATATTTTAATAGAAAGTTCACCAGTAGTAACAAATAAGAATGAAAAATCTTACCTCTACATTCTAAAAATTGCAACACACATCCCAGTAACAGAAATATTCTATGTAAATCTTTCTTTAGTATATTTCTAAGTCATCCTTTTTTGTCAGTCCAATTCATTCATTCAGTTCATATTAATTGAGTATGTACAAATCACTGTACTAGATGCCTAGGGTACAATGATGATCTATACTAATATATTCCCTGCCCTTCTGGAAGTGCTGTGGTATAGTGGGAGAGTAGACATTAATCGAATATATGGAAAATGATAACTGTGATAAATCATATGAATTAGAGCCTACACATGTGTGTCAGCCTGGGAATTCTAACCTAATCATGGAGGTCAGGATTAAAAAGATTTTATAAAAGATCAACCATCTATATTTCAAAAATAACCACTATTAACCTTTGCTTGACTTTTCTTAGACTCTTCTGTCTATGTGTGTGTGTGTGTATAGTTTGAGGGTACAAAACAGAGGACAATATTTTGCACCCGCTTTGTATATGCTTTTTTATATACCTTTTTCTGTGCTGGAAGATTGTTCAAAATGGCTGCATAGTATTATAATATTGGAAATAACGTGTTGTCATTCATCTATTTAGGTAATTAATTGATTTTTTACTGTTATATTCACAGTGCAACACACATCCACGTTATGTAATAGTTTACATGGTTGTTCAATTATTCTCTTTTAGGATAAATTCCCAGAAGTGAATTTACTAGTTAGAAGTTTGTGCCAATTTATTCTTTCATGAGCAATTTGAGAGTAGCCAGATGAGCCCCCTATAATGAAAGTACTCTCACTTGAGGTCAGTTTTTTAAAAGCTTTGTTATTCAATTGATTTTTCATTTTTCTAGTTTATTGATGATTGCATCATTTCAGGTGTACAGTATATTAGTTCATCATAATTTAAAATGACTTTTGGTTAACTTGGTAACTTAAATCATTACTTACTATTATTTGTATTAGGATATGATAGTCTAAAATGCAAATAAATAATTAGAGGTAATTTTATTTTTTAATTAATAGTTGGCCATGTAGCATCTACATTAGAAGAGATGGTTGCTAGTCCTCTTTATAGACCATTATGTTTGCTTGAAGCATAAACCATTTAATTTTGTGGGTTTTCCCTATTTTAATTTAGCTTTATTTTTTGTAGGGTTAGTGCACTGAAAGGTTCCAAAGGAAAAGACTGTGAAATTCCTGTACCTGTGGGTATTTCAGTAACTGATGAAAATGGTAAAATTATAGGTAAGTGTACTGTAGAATCTAAGGTTGTGAAAAATGTGCACATTTTCTAAATTGTTTGGGAGCTGTGGGGGATAGTACCTTTTGAGTTTCAGAATTTTTTTTAAACAGTAAGTATTTCAGCTGCTAATTTATGAAAACTTTTAAAAATCTTATATAAATGTTCAATATTAACTGCTAGATTTAAGATTATTTTAAAAATATTAGAGTATTTACTTGGTTTTAAAACAAAAACTAGTCTTTCAACTGCTTATAAAAGTGTTTTTCCAGGGTCAAGCTTTTCATAGAAACTTCTGGCATCTACTTCTAAAAGAAAAATATAATTAGTGATTAAATCTACTTACTAATCTTGGCTCTACGTATCCTTTTCTCTCTTTTTAAGGAGAACTCAATAAAGAGAAAGACAGAATTTTGGTAGCTGAAGGAGGTCTTGGTGGTAAATTCATTACAAATTTTTTACCATTGAAAGGCCAGAAACGAATAATTCACCTTGATCTAAAACTTATAGCTGATGTAGGCCTAGTGGGGTAAGTACCATTCATGTCTTTATTTTTATACTTCCAGGGAGAGAGTTCACAAATAGGAAATAAATATAAATAGTAATTTGGGGTCAGCACTGTTTCTAGTTTATGGAACTTGTGCATTGTTTGTGTACTTAGAGAAGATGATATTAAATGTAGTTATTTTCACAATGTCAGCAGAGAGTTTCATATGCACTGTTCATTTGTCAATGGTCATAGCAATTGAGTAGGCCAGTGAAATGTTAGAAAATGAATAAAGAAAAAGATAAAGGCGGTAATACAAGAAGGTTAGCAAAAAGAATGTTACCAGATATTAAGGAATAAAAAAAGAAATCCAAACAAACCACATTTTAAAAAATGTATTCAAGGAAATAAAAAGAAGGGGAAAATGATGAAGATATACTTTCAGGTATTAATAGAGCTATTGATGTAGCATTAACCAGAGGGCTCAAGGCCAGTACAGACAATCTCAACTCATCAGACTTACACACTGTTGAGTACCAAGTTGGATCTTACTGATTGCACCCCTATCCTTTGTGCTCTGCTTAGGATCTGTCCATTCTCAGTACCGTAGACATGCTTACAAGGTTGTTCTCTTCTGTAGTCCTCCATTTTTTTCATGAAACAGTGCTGTTTAGCTTTGGGTTTGCAGTGCTGACACCCAACCTGCTGGAGAGAGAGAGCTAGCAAGATAGAAAGTAGGTAAAGGAAGAGAAAACTTCAGCTTGGCCTTTCTCCTTTCCTCTCACTTCCTCTCCCTGGCTGCCTATAGCATTACGCAGTAGTCAAACGGAAGGCGTAAGGAATATATAGGGAAAACGGGTGCTAAACTGAGTTCCAAACTGCCAGGCCTTTCCTTGCCTTCTCATAGGTTCTTTCTAAGCTCTTTTCATCTTCCTTTCCAGCCACCTCACTGCTTCTTTATTTACCAGACTCTTCAGTCTGAATCCCTCATCTCTTTCCACGACTGTCTGGGTCTTACCAGTGGTGGCTTAGAGTTCACAGAGGTCCCATTCCTGCTGAGGTTTTAACAGGGAAAGATGTGATCCTTGGCATTTAAGCTTGCCATTCGCACATAATTTTTTTTCAGTAAAACATAGTTAAGTTTATGAGTCATAGGTTCTATAATAATACATATTTTTCAAACACTATCTGGTAATAGTGTTTTATGGATAAGGCTGAGAATCCAGCCATTTACTTTCTCATTTGGTAAAAAAATGAGTTTCAAGTTCCACGGAGACACCTGTATAGACCACGAAGAGCCTAGCAAGGCTGAGTTGTAAAAGTTGATCGGGGGCCGGGGGGGGGCTTGATTGAGACTATTTGGCTTAGACTCTCAAATCCCTGGGAGGCTAGTTGGCTAGTCTTGGATATGTTACACAGTCTCTCTAAGTTGTTATTCACTCATCTTTAATAGTGAATGGAGAGTTCTCACCTTAAAGTGTTGGTAAGATACTGCGCTTGCAGCACCACACATGCCGTGGGTTTATGACTGCTCAGTGAATGAATGGTAACTGCTATCATGATCCTTATATTGCCCACTTATCTGAGACTCCTGTAGTGAAACATGAAGCTTTTCAGAAGACTTGAAATTACAGTCAGTAATTAACACATTGTGATTCTTAAGCATAGTGTATAACATGTTTTCTAGTACTTTTAAATTAGGCAACTATTCTTAAAAAGTTACTAATGTGAATACCAGTGTAAGCAGATATTTTTTTAGCTGGTATCAGGAATGAACTGAGCCTAAGGAGAAAGACATGTAACTAATGTACGTGTACTGCTCTGTCAAAGCTGATCTTAGAACTGAACCTTAGAAGAAAGGTATATAACTTACACACGTGTACCACTCATGTCCAAAAGAAACATCAGTTGGTCGCCTTTTGTCCATGTCCTGAACTGCAACCCAGGCCTGTGCCCTGACCAGGAATCAAACCCGCGGCCTTTCACTTTGCAGGACAACACCCAAACAACTGTGCCACACTGGTCAGGGCAGCATGGATTTATCTTTACCTATTTCATAAGCATATTTTGTTTTTGAAGTTTTTCAAGATTATTTTAAATTGATACTCTACTTTTAAAAATCCCAGAAATACTCAAGAAGTTTGCTGCTTAAAATGTTTAGAATTCAGAGATAAACAAGCATTAATAGTACTGATATTTGTTGTAATGTATAAATTTTCTCATTTCAGATTCCCAAATGCTGGAAAATCCTCTTTGCTAAGTCAGATTTCTCACGCAAAACCTGCAATTGCAGATTATGCATGTAAGTATAATTTATTTTGTATTTTAATGTGTGGCGGTGAATTTTTAAAGACTGATCTTTCTTTTAGTATGAATAAAATGACAACTCTGAGGGGAGCCTTGGTTTGAAAACTCTTGGCAGAATATGTGCATTTCCCATTAATCCTGGAAACCTCTCTATCCCTCAGCAAAGTTTCTAGTACTCATTACTTACTTTGTTGTATTTACTTTCCTGGTGCATAATCATTAATTTGGTTCAGTTAGGATTCTATGAGCACCTATCCTTTATCAAGCGCTGTGATAAATATTAAAAAGTCAGAGATGAATTTTTTCACTCAAAAATATAGCAAGTATATTTTTCTGGGAACTGCAGTAGATCCTAGAGTTACAAAGACTGGTAAGCAGAAACATACTATTCTGATTTTTATTGAGAACACAAATGAGGTGGGGAAACGACATAGCTCTCCAATGATTACATGGAAATATAATATGGTTCTATGAAAGAGTGCAGGTGACTGCTTTGGACATTTTTGTGGAAGTGTGATGCTGGGGCTGAGGTTCAGAGAATAAGTATGAGTTAACCTGACATAGTAGAGCTGAAGGGTCTTTCAGTCAGAGGAAATAGCATGTACACAAAGGCCTTTTAGTGGCAGGGAGTGTATTTGTGTATATACAAACATGTGGTAAGGGAAAGAGAGAATCAAGGTGAGGCCGGAGGTACAGGTAGAGACTGCATCATATTGACATGTAGTCTGTATGTGATCTTTATATGTTAAGAGCAGTTGATAGTCTTTTAAGCAAGTGATAACATCATTGTATTTACTTAAAAAGATTTTTGCTTACATTCAGAAAATGGATTGGTGTGGGACATCAGTGGATACGGGAAGGATAGTTAGTAGGTTACTGCAGTAGCCTATGAGATGAGATATAATGGAAGCTTAACCTAAAAATAGGGAATGAATGTGACAGGATCTCTGCCATCATTAAACAAGAAGGTGCAAAATGACATTCACCTGGAAAATAAAATTAAACCATTCTAAAATTGTACTCTGATAAGGAAGAGTTAATTTTGAACTAACTGCAATAAATTAGGCCAGTATTTATTGTTATAGTACAGGGTGCTGTTGAGAAGGAAAGAGGAAGAAAAGCAAGAAGTCACAGGAAGGACAGTGCAGGGCTGGTGAAGCTTGAAGATAACTGAACGAGAAGGGACAAGACGAGACCTAGTGATAGAAATCTAAATTTGGGCCCCCGCACCGTGGTTCCTCAAGTGGGACAGAGGGGTTTTGAGGCCCACTACTTAAATTAGACTATGCATATTATAAAAACTTGCATTGGTCCTGTTCCAGGTATATTGTAAGTAGCAAAGATAATTGTACCTTCCATTTCAACAAATGAGAATATAATCTGAATTAATCACAGAAAAGAAATATTTTTTATTTTATACGTAATGCTAAGACAGTTTTAAGAGTACCAGTGTTTATTCTAGTCTTAACTTACTGTTGCTTTTTTCTTTTAGTTACAACATTAAAGCCTCAACTTGGAAAGATTATGTATAAAGATTTCAAACAGGTGGGTATTTTTAACATAAGACACTTGGTTAGAAGTAAAAGTACTTGCTTTTGGTACTTGGGCTTTATATTGCACTGTTTCTGAGGTGTTGGAGTAGGGCAGTTGCAGGATTTTATTTTTAATAAGTGAAACTAATCAAATCAATAATGAGCACTATCATAGTAAAATATTATGTAAGAATGTAACTTTCAAAAATAAGTATTATTTTTTATATTTTTAAAATTTAGTGGACTGTCATTGGTTAATAAGATTATATAGGTTTCAAGTGCAATCTGTATAATACATGGTCTGTTTATTGCATTGTGTGCCCTCAGCACGAAGTCAGACCTTCTGTCACCATGTATCTGACCCCCTTTACCCTTCACTGCCCCTCACACCCTTCCCTCTGGCAACCACCATACTGTTGTCTGTGTCAGGGAGTTTTTGTGTGCTTATTTTGCTTGTTGGTTCATTTGTTGCTTTCAGTTTTATATTCCACATCTGATCTTACTCGTGTGGGATTTCATTCACATGTGACAATGTAACTTCTTATTCTTTGAAAGTTTTAAGTCCATTTCATCATTACAACATGTACCTTCTTTATTTGCATAATTTCTGTTTGTCCTCATTGCAAGTTCATATTTACTTCTATACTTGATTATTGATTTTCACTGGCTAAAATCATTTTCTGAAGTTCATGGAAATGATTTTATTCTAACTTCCTCTGTTAAAAACTCCTTTTAATTCAATGGGATTCTGGCCTTATCTATTAAAATTTATTTTCCTTGATATGGGAGAACTGTAGATCTTTTTAGTAATTAAACTAAAACAAAATATGTAATGTACAGTCAGCAATCATACTCCTTGGTATTTACCCAAATAAGTTGAAAACTTATGACCAAACCAAAACCTAACGCTCACATGTTTGGAGCAGCTTTCTTGGTAATTGCCAAAATTTGGAGTCAACCAAGATGTCCTTTAGTAGGTAAATGGATAAACTGTGGTACATCCAGAAAATGGAATCTTATTCAACACTAAACAGAAAATGCATTACAAGCGATTAAAAGATACAAAGGAATCTTAAATGCATATTACTATGTGGAAGAAGCCAGTCTGAATTGATTCTTAACTACACGAGATTCTGGAAAAAGGAATAACTGGAGAAAGGAAAAAATAAATCAGTAGCTGCTAAGGATGAGAAGGAAGGAAGGGATGAACAGGCAGAGCACAGTGGATGTTTAGGGCAGTGAAACTGTTCTGTATGATTCTACAATGCTGCATACGTGACGTACATTTGTCAAAACTCATAGAATGTACAGCACCAAGAGAGAACCCTAATGGACTTATGGTGATGATGTATCGATGTAGTTTCATATAATCTATTGACATAAAAAGAAATATAAGATTTGTATTCATTTATATCAGTGGTACAACAGTAAATATTAATTAAACTTCAACAGTTATATAGAATATTAAATAATAAGGAAAAGTATAAATACAATATGTAGCAGGAAAAAAATGCATTTTTTAAAATTTTTTAAAATTGATTTTTAGAGAGAGAGGAAAGGGTGGGGAGAGAAAGAGACAGTGATTGCTTCTCGTGTGTACTCTGACTGGGGATCGAACCGACAACCTTGGTGTATCCAGACGACACTCTAAGCAGCTGAGCTAACCGGCTATGGCATTGTTTGTACTTTTTAAGGGAAATTTGTAGAAAACCTTCAAACAAAATTTCAGAACATGAGACCTGTGTGGTGTACGCTGCTTTGGCACACAGCCACACTTCCTTTAAAACTCCCAAAATCTTTATTCACACAAGCAGTGTGTGTAGAGCAGTGCTTCTCATCCCTTATTGTACATCACAATTATTTGGGTGGCTTAAGAATAGCAATGGTAAGTGAAGCCTGTGCCTCAGAGATCTGAAACCAAATCCCTTAGGGGTAAGGCCTGAGTATCTGTAGTTTATCCAACTGATTATGATGCACAGCAAGGTTTGAAAACCATGAGTGCAGAATAATGGCTAATGAAGCTTATCACCTCCAAAGGAACATAGGAGCGCTATATCCTGTGCTTCTTAGGAATGCTCAATAGTCCTCCTGGTAGAGTATGAACAGAAAAGGAACATTAACTACTACGTATAGAATTTAAAACTTAAAACTACAGAATTTACTAAGTAAATAGCAATTGAATTAATATTTTTTTAACACTTAAAAATTCAGAAAGTTGAAATACTATGAAAAGTTCATATTAAACTATTTAATTAATGGAATTCTTAATAGAATTTTGTGATTAATAACTAATCCCTAAAGTTCTAGATTGCTAGGTTAATAATTAAAAATGGGACTAATTTCTGATAGCAGGGGATTTTGATTCTGTTGTAAAGCTATCTTGGCTTTATAAAGGTGCAGTAGTAATCACAAATGAGAAACTGTTTATATTCAAAATACCATGAGAATTTTTGGATATAATTGTACTTACAGTTTTCATGTATTTTTCTTTTTTTATCAAACATTTAACTTTGAATTAGATATCAGTAGCTGATCTTCCTGGTTTAATAGAAGGAGCACATATGAACAAAGGAATGGGCCACAAATTCCTCAAGCATATAGAAAGAACTAAACAACTGCTTTTTGTTGTAAGTCACATGTATATCAATGCAATATTCAACTGAATGTGAATCGGTGAATTTAGTTTTCCTAGAAATTGTTTATATGTTTAAAGATAAAGTGGTAGCATATGTGACTCCATTAAGTCTGTGTAAATGGGAGTCAAACACAGTAAATAAGCTTTAGTTACTATATCAGATGTAATTTTGGCCATACTTGTCAAGGTTTAATTCCTTAAGATTTTCAACATAGTATTATGTTATGTACTATGTCTTTTCCTTCTTTATTGGTGGGGCTAGAGTTATATAGCTGACCCTCAAACAACATGGTTTTGAACTGTGCGGATCCACTTATATGCAGATTATCTTCCATAAGTACCTGTAGTAGTGTTGGGAGTCTGCTGATGTGGAGGCCTGATAGTATGCATTGATCCACACCATTTAACATTTTTTAAATGTATTTATTGATTTTAGAGAGAAGGGGAGGGAGGAAAAGAGAGAGGCAGAGAAACATGAGTTGCCCCTTTCACCCACCCCAACTGGGAATCGAACCTGCCTCTTTTTTGGTTAATGGGCCGATACGCAACCCATGGAGCTGCTCTAGCCAGCTCAGTCCATGCCACTTTATATACAGGAACTGCTACCCACAGATTTTGGTGTCCTTGCAGGGGTCCTGAACTAATCCCTCAATCCCCATGAACACCGAGGGGCTGTAAGTTTTGGGGGAGGCAAAAATTACACACAGGTCTTTGACTGTGCAGGGTAGGGTAGGTGTTAGTGCCCCTAACCCTATGGTGTTCAAGGGTCAACTGTTTATGAGATTGTCCATATTAATATAAATTGCCTTATCTATACTAGTTTTTCATTTTATTAATGATTTTGATTTTATCAAAATAATTATAGTTATCTTGACACTTTAATTTCTCTTATTTTGAATTACTAAATCACCAGTAGAGTTAAATTGAGAAATTATTTTTAACTTGAAAGAATAAAACATTTCAAAACAGAAATGTATAGCTAACCTTATGTTAAAGGTTGTTTCTTCCCTCTTTTTTTTTTTAGGTTGATATTTCTGGATTTCAGCTTTCTTCTCAAACTCGGTACAGAACTGCCTTTGAAACCATAATACTGCTTACAAAAGTAGGTTTTCTGTTTCTGTTTTACTGTGTTCTGCATTTGATCTAATACATAGGCACATAAGACTGTGTGAAATAACAAATAAGTAAAAGATATATAGTCCACCTCTACTTTTTGAACTGTTGAATGTAAAGAATTATCTAACTTTGTCTCAGTTCTTCTATATTAACCTCAAACTGTTGCAACCAATAAAGCCCTCTTTATTGCATGCTGCTTAAACTTTATCTTGTTTGAACTTTGATTATGACTTCTTAGACTATTTCTCAGCCTGTTATTTATGCTCTTTTCTGTTTATTCTTTAGCATTCAGTTACAGTAAATATACTAATGACTATGAAATCTGTATCTGATACCCAGATCTTTTACTTAAGCATTAGACCAGCTACCTCTTAGACATCTTTGATTAGATATCCCGTTAACTTCTCATACTTACTATGAAAAACACCCCCCCCCCCCCTTTTTTTTTTTTAACTTTCCATCCTCCTCCAGAACTTTACTGAGTATGTAAGCTGGAAACCTCGGTGGTGGTCTTGATTCTCTCTTTCTTACCACCTGTATCAAGCTCTGTCAGTTTTATATCCTAAATCTCTCTGAAATCCAGCTGCTCGTCTTCATCCGCACTGTATGGTCGTCAGCCTTTCTCATTAGAATGTTGTAAGTCCCTTCTGTCTGGTCTTGCTTCTAGTTTCATTTCTATGCAGTCCATTTCTTCTGAGCTAGAATGAGCTTTGTAAAAGATGTTTATTCCCTGCTTAAAACACGTCAGTGGTGCCCCACTGTTGTTAGGTTAAAGTTGAACCTAAACATGGTTTATGAGGTCTGGCAGGGTTGGGCTCCAACCTGGCAGTCCCTCTTTTTCCCCCTGCCCCTCTTTCATTCTATAACCAGCCCTATGATTTCCCTCCAACACAGTGGGATGTTTCTTACCTCCAGGACTTTGTATATCCTATTTCCTTTGCCACTGCTTATCTATAATGAAAATTACTGCTGTGAGCATTTGTGTACAGGTTTTTGTATGGACTTGGTTGTCATTTCTCTTCAGTGTGTGCCTAGGAGTGGAATTGCTAGATAATATGGTAACTCTGTGTTTAACATTTTGAGGAGCTACCAAACTGTTTCCCAAACAGGTGTATCATTGCTCCATTTTACAATTCTACTCTCAATGTATGAGGGTTCCAGTTTTTCCACATTGATGTCAACCTTATTGTCTATCTTTTTATTTTAGCCACCCTAGTAGGAAGGAAGTAGGTGTTTCATTATTGTTTTGATTTGCCTTTCTCTAGTGATTGATGATGTTGATTGTCTTTCCATATGTTTATTAGCCATTTGTTGTCTTTAGAGAAATGCCTATTCAGATTCTTTGCCCATTTTTAAATTATTTTTCTTTTTATTGTCAAGTTGTAAGAGTTTGTTATATTTTGGATATATTTTGGATACAAGTCCCTTATGAGATACATAATTTACACATGTTTTCTCCCATTCTTCTAGATGTCTTTTCACTTTCTTTATGATATTTTTTGAAACACAGAATTTTAAATTTCCATGAAGTCTCATTTGTCTATTTTTCTTTGGCTTATGCTTTGTGATGTCATAGATTTAAATATATATATTTATTTATATCCTAAGTAAATAAATCCTATATATCCTATAAATCCTATTTACATATCCTATATAAATAAATATGTATATCTATATACATATAAATATGTATACTTATTTATATATAAATATGTATGTTTACTTATATATATCCTAATCTACAGTCCTACAGATTTACTTTATTCACCTCTGAATTTTATCTCTGTGCTTAATAGAAGTCCAGATATTTGGCCCTAGCTGGTGTGGCTCAGTGGGTTGAGCGCCAGCCTGTGAACCGAAAGGTCATAGGTTTGATTCCCAGTCAGGGCACATGTCTGAGTTGCAGGCCAGGTCTCCAGCTGGGGCATGTGAGAGGCAACTAATCAATGTTTCTCGTGCACATCAATGTTTCTCTCCTCCTCTTTTTCCCTCCCTTCCCCTTTTTTAAAAAAAGTAAAACAAAGTCCAGTTGTTTATATTTGGCTCAATGCACAAATCACAGTTGTCTTTAGGATGTCATATGAGCTAAAATATAGTAACATATGACCTAACTATTAAACATATTCTCAGTGACCTTTGTTAATTAATTTTGTGGTGGTTGGGATTGATTGCATTTCAGAGACGTGACTGGGCTCTAGATTACCCAGGCCAAAAGGTAAAGAAAGGTATTACCAAACAGGTACTCTATATAGGTATTTTAATAAAGTTATTTGGTTTTTCACCCTGGCCAGTATGGGTCAGTTGGTTGGAGCATTGTCCTGTATACTGAAAGGTCACAGATTGGATCCTCAGTCAGGGCACAAGCCTGGGTTGCGTATTCAATTGGTTGGGGCACATACAGGAGGCAAACGATCGATGTTTCTCTCTGTCTCTCTGTCTTCTCTCCCCCCTCCCCCTTCCTCTCCCCCTTTCTGTCTTCCAACCCTCCAATCTCTCTGGAATCAATGGATATATCCTCCAATGAGGATTTAAAAAAAGGAAATTACTTCTTCTTTTTTGATTTAAAGGAGTTGGAATTGTATAAAGAGGAACTTCAGACAAAACCTGCACTCCTGGCAGTAAATAAAATGGACTTACCAGATGCACAAAATAAATTCCATGTACTGATGAACCAACTCCAGAATCCTAAAGGTAAAACTGATTCATTCATTTAATGCCAATGTAATAAATTCCTGGTAAATGCAGAGTGCCGCTAAGTGATACAATCCGTGGAAAAGAAAACTTAACAGTTGCTACTCTTAAAAAAAATATGTTTGAAGAACCCATATCATATGAACCATTTAAATAACACTGTAATATAATACTTACCAAGTTGCAGAATGTGTGATGTAGATAATGAGAAGAGACAAGGAAGAAAAAGACAATTTGAGCTAAAAAGGTCAGGCTTCATGAAGAAGTAAAACTTAAAACAGGGTCCTTAATAAGGTAACAGGATTTTGATCAGAAGAGGCAAAAGTCAGCATCTACCTGTATAGGCTTTCACTTTAACATATTTCACAGGTTCTAGGCCTTCATTCCCCTAATACCCCGTGGATGTAAAAACAGCGAACAGTTCCAAGGAGATAATGTATCTTTGCAATGTCAGCTGTATGGGCCTTTGAAGAGTAGTAATCTTCTTAAAAAAAACCCTTGTGTGCATGTACCTGTGTATGTATAACACAGAAAAATGATGCTGTTAGTCCAAAAGAATTTGTTTGTTTGAAACTTGTTCCTTGATGAACCACTTTGTGTAAAGGAACTTAAAGGGACTCTCCACTGTCTTGAACATTGAACTTGGCAGAACTCTCTGTCCTACAGTGATGGTGCTTTTATTTTTCTGAGTCTAGAGGAGAACCTCTTCACAGACAAGGAAAAACAGGGTGGATGGCAAGTGGTTAACATGGATTTAAATAGTACTAATTTCTCAGCTTGTATCCTTGGGATAAAAATTGGGGAAAATAAATTATTAGGATTAGCAGAGGGCACCAGAAGATTCTCCCCTCAAAAATATTTTCCCAGTGTAATTTACATATAGAAGCTGTCCTTGAGTTAATAAGTTACTTTTAGGATATAAATAATCCCTGGAATCAGTAAATAACCTTTATTCTTTAATGTCATTTGTGCTATGAGCTCATTAGATCTGTTTGCTAGCTGGTCTTGCAGAAAAGGGCATTTTCAGAAGAGGCACCAGAAGAGCCACCAAAAGTGGCTCAAGAGCTTTTGGCTATTTTGGGGTGTCATTAAACAAAATACAGGCTCATCAGTGATAATTCCTGAAGTAACCTCCCTGGACTTCTTGGGGGCATATAAATCTTAGAAAACGAACTCATGTTGGCTTGTGCGTTCTCTTTCAGCCCTGCCTTTCCAGTTCATATAAGTATTAACTCATCTCATCGGCATGCCGTCCCTCGTCCCATTGCCTCGGTGGCAGGGGAGAGGAAAAGCAGTTAACAGCTCTCAGCTCCTGTGGGGCGATAGAGTAGACTGATCTGAAATGATCTTCCCTTGCGCTGTCCCACACCTTTTCCAGTTTTGGTATGACTCCTTGTACCAGTGATGATAAGCCTATACTGTAGGGCAGCTAAAGCCCACCTGTGTCTTGAGGCAAGCTGGAGAATTCCAAATCACAAATGGTGTACTTTTTTATAGAAAGTTTCTTTCAGACAGTCTGTGTTGCCTCACTTTATCAAACCCCACTCTGCCAAAGCAACTTGCTTCTATAAGTAAATCATCTTCTGTGATTCTCTTATTTATATTGAATTTGGTTTAAAATATCTTTATCCAAAAAATATTTACTAAGCATCTGTCACGTGCCAAGAACATTATCATTGTGACTAGTAAAAACCCAGGGTTCTGAGAGCTTATTAGAGAGAAAAGGAAAAAAGGATATTAAAAAAGTTTTCAGGGAACTTCTAAGTTTACAGTTTCTTGGTTCACAAATCAAACCTTTAACATAGTTTTGAGTTATTTTCTTTTTTTAAATTAAATGTTACTGATGATGCTATTACAGTTGGCCTGACGTTTTCCCCCTTTGCCCCTCCACCCTGCACCCCCCACTGCCCCACCACTGTTCATGTGCGTGGGTCATGCGTGTAAGTTCTTTGGCTCCTCCATTCCTACACTGTACTGTACCTCCCCGTGGCTATTCTGTAAATATCTGGTTGTGCTTCTTGATCCCCTCACCTTTTCACCCCTTCCCCCACAATCCCCACAACCCCCCGCAACCTGGCAACTATCAAAATGCTCTCCTTATCCATGATTCTGTTTCTGTTCTTGTTTACTTTGTTTTTTTAGATTCAATTGCTGATAGATATGTATTTTTTGCCATTTTACTGTTCACAGTTTTGATCTTTTTCTTAAATAAGTCCCTTTAACATTTCGTATAATAATGGATTGGTGATGAACTCCGTTAGTTTTTTCTTGTCTGGGAAGCTCTTTATCTGCCCTTTGATTCTAAATGATAGCTTTGCTGTGTAGAGCTCTCTTGGCTGTAGGTCCCCACTTTTCACGACTTTGAATATTTACCTATCCCTTCTGGCCTGCAAAGTTTCTTTTGAGAAATCAGGTGATAGTGTTAGGGGAACTCCCCTGTAGGTCACTAACTTTTTTTTTCTTGCTGCTTTTATGATTCTCTCTTTATCTTTAACCTTTGGCATTTTAATTATGATGTGTCTTGGAATGGACCTCTTTGCATCCGTCTTGTTTGGGACTTGTGTGTCTATTTCTTTCACCAAGTTAGGGGAGTTTTCTTTCATTACTTTTTCAAAAAGATTTCCAACTTCTTTTTCTTTCTCTCCTCCTTCTGATGTGAATGTTGGACCTTTTGAAGTTGTTTCAGAGGCTGCTTATACTTGCCTCATTTTTTTGGATTCTTTTTTCTTCTTGTTGTTCTGATTGGTTGTTTTTGCTTTCTGATGTTCCAAATCATTGATTTGACTCTCGGCTTGATCGACTCTACTGTTCTTTCCCTGTAAATTGTTCTTTATTTCAATTAGTATATCCTTCATTTATGCCTGGATCATTTTTATGCTATTGAGGTCCTAACTAAGTTCCTTGAGTGTCCTTATCACCAGTGTTTTGAACTCTGCATCTGATAGATTGCTTATCTCCATTTGATTTAGCTCTTGTCTGGAGTTTTGTTCTGTTCTTTTATTTGGGCCATGTTTGTCTCCTCATTTTGGCAGCCTCCCTGTGTTTGTTTCTGTGTATCAGGTAGAGCCGCTTTGACTCCATGTCTTGGTAGGGTGACCTAATGTAGTAGGTGTCCTGTAGGGTCCAATGGCACAGCGTCCCCTGTCACCCAAGCTGGGTACTTGAAGTGAGCCCTTTGTGTGGGCTGAGTACACCCTTCTCTTGTAGTTGAGCCTTGGTTGCTGTTGGCAGATCAATGGGAGGGGTTTACCCAGGCCAGTCAGCTGCAAGGTTTGGCTGTGACCACTGACCAGCAACGTTCACCTGCCATGGAGGATCAGCTATGCAGGGGCAGGGTGACAGTGCTCCCCTGTGGTCTGTAGCTGTCTACTGGTTGTGCTGGCCCTAGAGTTTCTTGAGTGGTGCAAGCCAAGGTCAGCCCCAACCTGTGTTTTGCCCAGGGAGCCCCCCTGCCTGAACTATAAAGCAATCTGAGATGGCTGCCACTTGTGCTGGGCTTGGAGATTCCCAGGAAAAGCCAAGCTGTGAATCTAGGCTCACTGCTGCTAGTGCTGTGCCTGGGGCTCACTGAGACAACTGTTGCTTGTTTGAGAGGATTTAGAAAGTTGTGAAGCCTGAGCCAAGACCAGCCATTCATGCAGAAAAGCAGTTTAGGTGGGCCATAAGTTGGGTGGGGCAGAGTCTCTGGGGATTTCCAAGGTGGGTCAAACAGCCTTAGCTGGGTTGATGGAGTCCCAGATATGGCACCAGCTTGGCAATTCTGTGGGGGGAGGGTTTAGAAAAAGGACAATGACCTCTGCTCACCTTGATGCCAGACACTAAAGTTCCTCCCAGTATGCCACTGGTGCCTTTCAAGCTGTTACCTTGGTGCTGGAGCTCAGAGGAAATAAATCTGAAAAGGTGAGTCTGTGTGTGGGTTCTGTAAGAGGAACTGCTTGGGGCTGCAGAAGTTTCTTCCCACCCACTCAATCCCTGCTGAGTTTTGCAGCCAGAAATTGTGGGGACTTATCTTCCTGGCACTGGAACCCTGGGCTTGGGGGCCTGGTGTGGGACTGAGACTCCTTGTTCCTGAGATATCCCTCCCAAATTTTTATCTACCACATGTGGATGTGGGACCAGCCTGTTCTGTGTCTATGCCCCTACTGCCTGTCTGGATAGATGTGGTTTCTTTTATTCCATAGTTATTAGACTTCCAGTCAACTCAATTTCAGATATTCCTCAGTGATGGTGGTTCTATATTTTAGTTGTAGTCTTGATGTGGTTGTGAGGAGAGGCGAGCCATGTCTGCCTGCACTGCCATCTTGACTAGAAGTCCAGTTTTGACTTGCTTTCAAAGACAATGAAAATCAGAATAGTTTTGTCATTTTTGTTTCAGACTTTCTGCATTTATTTGAAGAAAACATGATTCCAGAAAGGACAGTAGAGTTCCAACATATCATCCCCATCTCTGCAGTTACCGGAGAAGGAATGGATGAATTAAAGAACTGCATCAGAAAATCTCTGGATGAACATGAAAATGAGGAAAATGATGCATATCATAAGAAACAGTTGCTTAATTTACAGATTTCCAATACAATATCTTATAGTGAGCCACTATCAGAGAATGCTGTTACTAGTTCTATAAAATAGATACAATTTAAATCTATTCAAAGTGATACTGAAATTGTGTTCATTTGAAAGGTTTTTCACAGACATATATATTTTAGAATGTTAGTTATTACTAAACTTCTGATATATACTCCATCATTTGAGAACCATATCTTTTTAAGTTGTTTTATAATTAAGTGTCTCAACAGTAAAGAAGTGACTGAAAGCTAAAATGACAGTTTATAATTTTATGGCCAATCCGCCTATAATAAAATCCTCTGATAGTCCCGTACTTACAATGTCCTCAGTGAGATCATTGGTTTTTTAATGTAAAAGATTTATAGAATATTATGAGAATGGGTTTTATTTGTTTTTGAGTCTGTTATGTACCTGGTTCAACTATTAGGTATAATAGTTCTCATTTTTAGAAAATCAAAAAATCCTGAATTTGAACATATGTTAAGTGATAACTAAGATCACTGATAATATTTAATAGAAACCAGCAAATACAGTCATACCTCGGTACTCGTTGGCTTCAGACTTCATCAAACCTGGCACTTGTCACATTTTGACAAGAAAAAAAGTGTTTCAGCATTCAGCGCTTGCTCAGGACTTGTAGCACTTGATAGAACTTGTATGCACTGTGACGCCGCCCTGCAAGAAAAAAGGCTCCATCACTTGCCAGCTGGTTTCAGCACTCCTTGTGAGTTCTGGAATGAATTAATGACAAGTACCAAGGTACAACTACAGATGCTCGTGATTTCAGCCTTTGGAAAACTTTCTTAAGTATAATAGTATTTTTTCCAGCTTTGAAGCACACTGGTATATGACTCATTTTCTTACGTCCTAGTCTGTTTCATTATCTACTTTCATATTTTAGTAAAAAGAGAATAGGACATGTAAACTTTAAACAATATTATCAGTCATCAGTATATTCTTGAGATTGTAATTTGTATTTGAGTTCCAAAAATATTTACAAATGGGACACTTTCTCCATATGAGTTTTATTATAAAATATACACCTTCATTGTAAAATGTAAAATTTAAATAATGCAAAAGCATATAAAGTAAAAAAAATTCCCATCTTTCTGCGTTAGGCACTTCAGGCCTTCCTAGACAAAAGCTCTGTTAATAGTTTCCAGTGTTTTTGCAGAACTTTTTAATTTATATATTTTTTTACCCAAATGAGTTTATTATGTAAACCTTTACAGGTTTTTTTGTTTTTTTTTTTTTTACAAAATAGTAGCAAGTTAATGAGGTTTTAATAATTATTCTTCAATGCTGCTATTAAATTATTAGGAATTGTTTTAGAATTTAAGGCTTAGTGAAGCCATTGCATATGGCTGTAAGTATTAAATAAAAAATGATGTAAGTATTGTTCTACTTAAATTTCTTTTGATATGACAATGTAAGAGTCTTTTTACAGGCATTTTTTCACTTTTATTCTGTTTTATGTAGCTCACTCCCACCTCTCATCCCCTTCCCCAAATTACTGTCTTTTCTTGTATTTCTTCGTTCTTCATTGCACACGTATTTATTGTCTCCCCTGTACCTGGCCTCATGCGCTACGTTTCATGTACAGTGTTGAAGAGAACAGATAGGATCCGCTGCCCTCATGGATCTCACATTTGACAGCACAAACTGCAGGGGATTAAAGTAGCTTGGTTTCACTTTATAACAGAGGAGTAAGAGCAAGGAAAGTATTTGGAATTTGAATACCTTTGCTGATCATAATGACTATGTTTCATATTGGGTATGTTTTACAATTATGACTTCAGGGTCTTTTTTTTTTACCTCTGTTGTTTCCTAGATATAAACAAGTAGCAATGTGAGGACAGTTGCATCAGGTGAAATTCTGGAGCTCTGAAACCATAATCTTATTCTCTGCTGTGGCAAAGGATAGTAGATGTGTATTGAGGATTAAGAGGAGTTATATCTTACTTGCTTTGTCATAGAGTTAATGAAAGCTTTAAGTTTTTTAAAAAGATTTTATTATTCTTAGGGGAAGGCAGGGAAAAAGAGGGAGAGAAACATTGATGTGTGAGAGAACATTGGTCGGTTGCCTCTCACACCCCACCGACTGGGGACCTGGCCTGCAACCCAGGCATGTGTCCTGACTGGTAATTGAACTGGCCACCTTTTGGTTTGTGGAATGACATCCAACACACTGAGTCACACCAGTCAGGGAGAGATTTTAACATACATTTTTCGGGTACAACAGAAAATAATTTATAAAGATATAAAATATTTGAACAACACAATTTTTATATTTGACCTTATAGTCACACATATAAACACTGTACCCCAAAACTGTAGAATACACGTTGCTTTCAGATATGCATGGGTCATTTTAAAAAATCAAGCACATGTAAAAGCAAATAGCTTCAAGTGCCAACCAATCACATTCATACAAAGTAAGTTCTTTGACCACTAAGAAATTAGACTAGAAGTCAATAATAAAAATGTGCTTCGAGTGCTTGTAAATTAAGAACTATACATCTTAACCCATGGGTCAAAGGAGGAATCACAATGGGAATTAACACATTTTGAAGTGAATCTTCTGAAAATTTATGAGATAGAGTAAACCTATGTTAAGAGAAAGTTTATCTCCCCAAATCATAAAGAAGAAAAGCTGTAAGGCAATGAACTAAACCTCTATAATAAAAAGTTATAAAAAGAACTACTTACATCTAAAGAAAATGAAAAGATAAAAAATAAGAGCAGAAGCAAGTAAAATAGAAAACAAATATACAATAGAGATCAATAAAGATAAAAACTTGGTTCTTTGAAATGACAAGTTTATAATCGCCCGCTCCCCCACTATGAGGAATAATGAAGAAATACAGAGTAAGCTTAAATACCCAATATTGGGAATATCGGAGAAGACATTAAAAGCGTACAGATACTAAAAGAAAAATATTATAAACAACTTTACATCAGTTAAGTATGCATTTGTAAAAAATCAAGTTTCATGCTTAGTATGTCACATTTCAATAAAAAAATGAAAAATATATACCTTACAAAATCTGACATCAAAGAATATGTGAAAAGTTCTGTGTTTATTTTAAAATTAATAATTAAAAACCTTCTCACAAAAAACTCTTAGGTCCAGTTGGTTTCGCTGGTTGATTCAAACCAAATACTTAAGGGAAAAAATAACATCTATCTCACACAAATTCTAGAGAATGGAAAACACCCTCCCACCCAATTTATGTGGCCAGCATAACCTTGATATCAAAGTATGACGAGATCATTAGTAGAAGGAAAAATGGTCCAATTACATTTATAAACATGCAAAAATCCTAAGCAAAATATTAGGTAAATGAATAGACAAATATGTAAGAGAGCTAATGTGTAATGATTAAGGTGAGTTTATTTCAGAAATGGAAGGTTAGTTTAACATTCAAAAACTCAGTAATGTAACTAACCTATAGTGACAGAAAATAGACGAGCAGTTGCCTGAGTCCTGGCTGGGTGGGAAGAGAGGGACTGCAGAGAGGATTACAGAGGAACATGAGGCTACCTTTAGTGGTAGAGGCACAGGTATATACACACGTGAAAATGATCAGACTATGTATTACAAGTTTGTGCAGCCTGTTGTATGCTAATGTACCTCATTAAAGTTCTAAAAATCAGTGTAAGTTATTACATATATGGAATAAAGAAAATCCACATGATTATCAACAGATTGAGACAAAACATTTGATAAAGTCAGCTTGCAGTAATGATTTTAAAAATTTTTTTATTGTATTTTTTCCATTACCATTTAGCCCCTATTACCTACCCACACCCCCCACCTCCCCCCCCCCCGCCCCCGCCGCAGTCACCACACTGTTGTCCCTGTCTATGAGTCCTTTTCTCTTTTGCTGGATCCCTCCACCCCCTAAACCCCACCCGGTAGCTGTCAGCCTGCTCTCTGAGTCTGTCTCTTTGCTTCATTTATATGGTATTTGTCTTTTTCTAAGTGGCTTATTTCACTTAGCATAATGTACTCCAGGTCCATTCATGCAGCTTTAGATTTTTTATTTCCAAAGATAAACAAATGGAAATATTTTCCAGGTAGTTTCACAGGGTTTGCAAAATTCTGGTAAAAAACTCAGTTAACAAAGTAAGTTCCATCTAGAAATTTGTAATATCATTAAGGTACATTAATGTGTCAAAGCAATAGCACAAGTGGACTTAACAAAATGTAGCTTAAAAATGAAAAAAAAATTAGCAATAATACAGATTGCAAACTACACAAATGACATCTTATTTAAAAAATATGGCATTATTTTGAAGACCAAATTGTGAATTTAGTGGATATTTTTAAATGCTTAAGAGTGTCTCAAATTTAGATTAAATCTGTCTCTGGAACTGATAAATGAAACATCCCCAAAATTTGTTTGAGTGCATGGTTTGTGCTGATAATCATAGTATCTAACGTGGTAGTGTTTTCATGCCTGGCACTGTGCTGAATATTTCACATATATTATCTCTTTCAAACACTACACTCTATTCCCTCCTTGTCATATATTAACTTGAAATTGGCTGGTGGGTATGTGAGCATTTTGGGTTTTTTAAAAACCTTTTTTGAAAGTCTAAAATATTTTATAATTGAAAAAACAGCTTTTGCCCTCAAAAGTTTTTACCATGAAAATCAAGCCAGATACTCAAAACTGACAAATGTTGACAGACAGCATGCTATACTTTTTGCTGTGAAGTTAAACAATAAGGAAAAAAAAACATCTTTTTTCATTGTCCTTAGAGGTATTTCATAGAAGCATTTTGTTTTCTATTTTGTGATTGGAGCTTGGAGAGTAGATGGGTGTCCCAAGCCAGCTGAAGGAAAAGCAAAATCAAACAGGTAAAGAAATGAGAAAAGTAGAGGAAAAAGCAAGAGAGGTATGTATGTGGGAGCGGTTCAGTATTTTGCAGTGGACAGCTCAGGGAGTAACAGGCACGGTCATTGCTCCAGGTGGCTATCACGGGGGTGAAAAACCCAGGCACGATTTCAGCTGCCCTTCTGATTGTAACCAACCTTGAGTTATACGCAGTTCTAATTTTAATTGTTTTTCTCTTTCTCATTATATGACAGTTGCTTAATAGTTGGGTCCTTGAAAGGTCACAGGAAGTAATCACCTTTGTATATATTATTAATGTGTTCGTACTAGAAATGAAGTCCTTCGGGATGCCCAGATATCAAGCTATGTGAAGCATTGCTATTACAGGAGTAATGTCCTTTGAAATACTTGGAATATGAAGAAGAGGATATGCCGTTTGTATTATAACTAATTTTGGAGCAATATAT